TTTCAGTCGTGATGGATTAGCAACACTAGATTGGTGATGATTGGGATGCCACATGGCTCATTGTTAGAGCAGCTGCACCACATATAGCAGCTATGCTATTATATTATAGTGAACAGAGGGGAATTATACTTTTTTTTACCTCTTGGTGCCCAGTTTGCTTCCCATTTTCATGTCTTTCTCTTCTCTCTCTATCAGCCTCTCTGTCCTGTCCAGCTGCACCTCGAAAAAACTGTATCCATGTCAAACTCTATAAGAAGAGCTAAAGTTTGATTTTCCCTCAACGTGTTTGGACCCTAAAGAGTTCACATGCACAAAAGAGGATGGAGCTATAAAATATTATTGTGGGTAAACATGCAGGACGATTCATAGGAGATTTTGTTGTTGGAGTTTCTAAAAACAAAATCGGCAGAAACAAAAATATTTTTACTTGAGGACACAAAAATGGACCTTGGATGGTTTGGCTGCTGAGTTGCATCATTTTCTCGGGTTTTACTTTTCTTTCTTGTAAATACCCAGATTTCAAATTGTTGCATATTTCATAACAGGAAGATTTTAGTTGAGGTGCTCTTCACCCATTTACTTCATAAAATCACTTATGATTCTTGGATGATTTCTGGATAATCTATGTAGGAAAAGTGCTCATTTAATCTTTCTTCTGTGTTGCTTATTAGCGCTCACATATCCAGCTAACTCTTTCACAATCAATTAATTTTTTTGTAACGTAACGTAAACAATCTGTTTTGGAATTAGCCGAGGGATTTCCAGATTTTATTACAGAGGCAATATATCCGTCTTTTTTTGTTTTCTTATTACAGAAACATATTCTTTCAAAGTTAGCCAACTATTTCGGAAAGTGAACTTTTTATTTCAGTCTCTTAACTTTGACATAAGAATCTTTGAGGCAGAAAGACTCCTAATACTCAGAAATGAATTTATATATAACCAATTTTAAATTGGATGGTTACTTCAGAAGCTGTGTTCCTAGCAGCTTGTCAGAATGAGAGAAGCTATCCCTGTGTCTTCAGCTGAATCCATATTTAAAAAACAAAAAAAAAGGCCGGGGACAAAAACATGGAATAGGATTCTCAGAGCTGATGAAGAGCAAGTGACTCATCTGTCAGGTCTTGTATTAAATCTTTGCTGGATTTTATGAAAGACGCAATTCTCAGAATCATCTGCTCATCAGTTGCAGATTTTTTTTTTGTTTAAGGTATGAGATTTCTTCTTTTATTCTTTATTTATCCACCTCTCCCGTTCTTTAAAAAAAAAGCGGAAAATATGCTGTCATGGCCACGAATTGTTCTGGAAATTGGTGAATGCGATCAAAGTTCTCAAAAAGAGAGAGATCCTTTGAAAGAAATTGATCAAAAACTGTATGGTGTTTTCTGATAAAGACAAAATATCTGCAATATCTACAATGAAAAGTATTTGGTGAAATGTTTACTAAAGTAACTGAACAGGTCATCTGATTTAATATTCAGAAATTAACTCATCAGATGAAC